CCGCACGTGGTATTTTGGGGAAGAGCCACACTCAAGGGACCAAAGAGCCGCAAGTGGCTCGCGAGCCGCGGTTTGCCGACCACAGGCCTAGGAGACAGGTGTCTGCTCGCAGTTCAGTCTGGTGAGGTCCAATACAGGAGGGGTTTCTATGGCAACAGCTCTGGCTCTTGTCCATCAATGCCCTTCTACTCCGCCTCAAGGATAAGTGTAGAGCAGTGTGTCCATCTCTCTTTCCTCACTCATTTTCTTTGAGAAACATTAAAACCCTAATTACATGCTTGGGCTCGCCCCTCCCTCTCAGAGCTGTTGTATGAGCTCAGTGCCATCCTTTATTGTTTGACTGGTACACTGATGCCAGTGCTTACTTATTCAGTTCATCAAGGCCCTACACTTTATCCCATAATACTTGAAACAGAAACACGTTTTCTCACACTGATTTCATCAGTCTGCATCCTTCTCTCTTTTTCCTGCGGCAGACATCATCAGGTTATATCTCAGCCGCGAGGGGCAGGGTAAAAAGATAGGGTTGTTCTTCCCCTCGGGAGCCTCCAACTCTCATCTTTGTGCCCAGCCTCCTTGACACAGACTCCCGAATCCTTAGGCCTCAGGTAGACCTGGACATCCAAATGAACACCAGCCAGAGGCCCTGACTCCATCCCCTGCCACCTCATCTTTGGACTCTGCCGCCCTCACATCCGCAGGGCGATGCCTCATTTTGGTTTGTTGGTGCTGATGAGCCCTGTGACTGGTTTTCTCACCTGTAGCACGAGGGACTTGGTGCCATATTTGTGGGATCCTTGCGTGCGTGTGGCTGACCTGCCATCAGCCAACCCCTCTAATTTCACGTGGATGGTACGTCCTCAGGCAGGGGCACATCTGCTCGGCAGACTTGACGAGAGCTCTGCGCGCTGATGCCTCCTTTCTTGGCTCCTAGTGCTCGGCGACCTGTGGGCTGGGGGTGAGGAAGAGGGAAATGAAGTGCAGCGAGAAAGCCTTCCAGGGGAAGCTGATAACTTTCCCAGAGCGAAGGTGCCGCAACATTAAGAAACCAAACCTGAATTTGGAGGAAGCCTGCGACCGAGGGGCCTGTCCAGTGCGTCCTGTGTACAATGTGGCAGCTGGATGGTATTCATCGCCATGGCAACAGGTGAGTGCCCCCAGATGTACGAGGCTTGTATTTAAGTGAGATTCAAAAAGAGGAGGCAGTCCACCAAGGGCTGCTGGTAGAAACCTGTCCACATGTCAGGAACAAAGGGCTTCACCACCTGTGTGGCCTGGGAAGGTTACGTAATCTGGGAGCCTCCGTTTTCACATCTAAAAAAACAGAGGATAATATCTTGCAAGGTTTGATTTTTTTTCCACAAGTAAATAAGATAATATAAATCACTTAGTACCCAGCTTGTCACACAGTGCCAGCAGTTGCTATTAAATCCACCACTAGCATCTTCTATATTCTAGAAATGCTCCTCACGGTCTTGACTCGTTTGGTTCTTATGTCATGTTTCCAAATAATATAATAATAGCTAACGTTTGTCAAACCCTTGCTATTCACGATGCTAAATGTTTTACATGCATTTGCTATTTTCTCACTCTCACTGCATCCTTTCAATGATCTTATTGTATTGTGGTCGCTGTTTTGTGGATGAGGCAGGTAAAGCTCAGAGGTGGGCACTTCAGCCATGGACCCCCAGCTCTTTTAGCTCAGCAGATGTCAGTGTCACCCTCTTTCTCGGAAGACTTTAATGAAGGTTTGGTGATTTTGGTTCTTTTATTCTTCTTTTAAAATATATTTTTATTGATTTCAGAGAGCCACCCTCTTTCTCGGGAGACTTCGATGAAGGTTTGGTCTCTTTGGTTCTTTTTTTCTTTTTTTAAAATATGAGAGGAAGGGAGAGAGAGAGGAACATTAATGATGAGAAGGAATCATTGATTGGCTGCCTCCTGCACACCCTCTACTGGGGATCAAGCCCACAACCCATGACCCTTCAGACCACAGGCTGACACTGTCCACTGAGCCAAACCAACTAGGGCCGTGGTCGGCAAACCACGGTTCATGAGCCACATGTGGCTCTTTGGCCCCTTCAGTATGGCTCTTCCACAAAATACCATGTGCGGGCACGCATGTACAGTGCGATTGAAACTTCGTGGCTTATGCGCAGAAGTTGGTATTTTGTGGAAGAGCCACACTCAAGGGGCCAAAGAGCCGCATGTGGCTCGCGAGCCACGGTTTGCCGAGCCACAGTTTGCCGACCACTGATAGGGTGATCACTTTGGTTCTCATTGGTAGGAGTAGGTGACGCAAAGTCTGAGAGAACACTGTGTTTTGGTCCTTGTGGGCACAGCTCTTCAAAGAGCTTGTTGGCTTGAGAGGTGCTGCCCACACCTCATCATGAAACACGGAGTATGTCTGTGTATCTATGTTTATATACACTTGTACATGTATGTATTTAGTTGACCCTTGAACAAGATGGGTTTGAATTGTGCAGGTCCACTTATACAAGGATTTTTTTTTCAATAAATACTGTAAGTGTATTTTCTCTAGCTGACTTTATTGGAGTATACAGTATATCATACAAATAACACAAAGTATATGTTAATCAACTATGTTATCTATAAGGCTTCTGGTCAACAGTTACCTATTTAAGAAATTAAGTTTTAGGGGAGTCCAAATTATATGCAGATTTTCAACTGCACAGATAGGTGATACCCCTAACCCAAGTTGTTCAAGAGTCAACTGTGTATATATGTGTGTGTTTGGGAAGTAAAACATGGAGGAAATTAGCATGAGTTTATATCTCTAATTGGCTAGGTGCTATACCTATGTGGTTACCTATGTACTAAATGCAATGCCTGTTGCATGGCTTGTTTTTATCATTATTTTACAGATTTGGAGATTAATTCTTATAAGATTATTTCAGTCAGTAAAGAACTGCCAGCCTAAAATATCTTCTGTCTTCACTTCACAGGAAAGTTTGCATACTCCTGGTTTAGATAGGCAGTCGCCAACCTTTTGGACCTCATGGACCATCAGTTGGCGACCGCTGGTTTAGATGAAATAGCGATCATACAGCTATATTTGAATTTGGGGCTAATTACAAACTCATACTTTTTCCACCAGAACTTATTTTTCCTAAATACCAGTCTATATAGTGAGGACTGTCCAAGATAAAGTTTCACCTGTCTGCAATTTTAAAAAGCAGAAACAAAAAAATAATTTAAAGGGATGTCTTTTTCCCTGATAATATTTTGTTTATTCTTTTGTTATGAAATATCTGTTATTTTGTTCAGACGCATGAAAATTTAAGAATGCTAACAGTCCTTGTTAGACTTTTTAAAAAATAGATGACTAATTAGACAGTAACAGCATTGACTTCTGGGAAGCACCCTATCCGCCATGCTAACCAGGAATCTGGCTGGGCACCCAGAGCATTTCGTTTGCTGCCCTAGTTTTGAACCATTCCCTCCATGATTGCATCTGCAGAGATTATTTGGAATTCCTAAGCTACAGGGATTCATTGCCTAGATGTGTCTGTATTTGTTTCCACATTCTTATGGCAGCTTTTGTGTTTCTGGAAGCTCTCTTCTTTATGAGTCACCTACCTGGAGACACACTGTTGGGTGAGATAGCATTAGCCTACGACCCTTCTAATCAGATCCACTGGCTCCCACATTAGAAAGACTGGACCGCAAGCGCATGTACCTGGCTCTGGACGATTTATCAGCAGGCACCTTGGTCATGTCATGAAGCCTGGAGACCCTTTCTTTGATGTCACTGACATTAAATGGATCCCATCCAGCTGAGTGTTTCTGATGCTTCCCCCTTCTGCAGTGCACGGTGACCTGTGGGGGAGGGGTCCAGACCCGATCCGTCCACTGTGTGCAGCAGGGCCGGCCTTCCTCAAGCTGTCTGCTCCGACAGAAACCTCCGGTGACACGCGCCTGTAATACGAACTTCTGCCCAGCTCCTGAAAAGAGAGGTAAAAAGAACCCCACACTCCTGTCAGTTTTACTGGTCTTCAGAGAATGCTTCAAAATGCCATCAGATCTGGTTGTGCAGCTTGTACATTCCACACCTCTAGGGGATGCCGTTCACATCCAAGTCCATGTGAACAGCACTCCTTGGAGGTGTACAAGGCACAAATCCAGGCAGTTCCCATTCAACATGATCTCATGTGCAGGAAGATTGTGTGCTATGATAAGGCTTTATAGGCATTAATTCTTCTCAAGGGAGAAATGGTAATCTTGCAAGTCCATTTTTTCTAAACTAAATTTGAATTGAGCAAACACATGAAAAAGTATACACTGTGTGCCAGAGATTGTATGATCAATGGTAATGCAAGAGTGAACAAGAATTGCCCTCAAGGAGCTCACATTTTAATTGAGAAGACAGTTACATTACAGTCCAGTACAGGGACTATGTATTGTCCTAGGATGACAGCTGACATGTTTTCTTAGTTCAGATGAAGTGCATGTGTGCTGATGGGAAATTCAGTGAAGGAACTACACCATTCCTCACTATGCAATTTATTTCAAAGTGATCTGACGAACACCATGAAATATTTTTCAGCCTAACCAGATTTTCTTAGTCTCAATCGTGTACCTGCTGAGTTTTCTCTTTATGTAATCACAGTTTTTCCCAAGACTCTCCAATCTCTTAGCCTACACTTGCCAATTTGTGGTGAATCAGATTCAGGACAGTTACTCGCTTCCCAGCTGAATCTGCATTGTTGCTTGCTTACCTGCTTCTGAGATAGCCTTAGCTCCAGCATCACTTTCCCTTCCTCTGCTCCCTCCCCTGTCTTATCTGAGGCTTGGAGGCCAGAAAGCTAGTCCTGTAGCAGTTACTCAGAGCCAGATCACCTCTAGGCAATGCCAGGCTTCTACACACCTGCAGGCTTTCTCACCAGAAAGCTTATGAGGGAAAAGTACACACATTTTGAGCATGTGGCCATGTTTTCCGGACCATCTCCTCCTTCCTTCACTATCAGTGATTTCAAATTTCCACCCTTTAGTCAGACGGCTCCAGACACAACCACACATACAAAGATTAGGGGAGATTAGGAGAACCACATCCTGGGGCCTGTAGGCCAATGCAAGAACTACCTTTTACTCTGAGTGGCTGGGAGCTAAGGGGAGAGTTTGGGGCATAGGTTTTACATAAAATGGCTTACTGTTTTTAAAGGATCACTATTAGATGGGATGTGTGTTTAAAAGGGAATTTTTTTTTTTAGGCAGAAGAACAAATTTAGGTAGTTCTGAATCACAGAAAGATGGGCTACAAATTGGGAGCTTTGTATGCTCTGACAAAAAGCACAGTGGAGAGCCACTGAAGGGTGAATTCAGAAGGCACATGAGTAGATACCTGTGGGCAGTGTGTGGTTTTGAGTTGCAGGTTAAGGCTTGCATAGAGGAGGGGAAAACTATCCCAGCTGTGAATGAGACTATTTACAGAGGGTAGAGTCTAAATATGTTTAATGTCAAAACTCCTTGAGAATCCAGTAAAACGACTGAGCCCTAACTCCTCAAACATGTGTTTATATTTACACGAAGAACATCTTACTTACAATTTCATGCACATTCTGTATCTTGTGAGATGCTTCTGGGTAAGAATTCCTGATGTGCAATGTCCTGCTTCTAATCGGTAATCACGGCTGTTCTACTTGAACAAAGACGTTAGAAAAGGCTGGTGTTGACTTATATCCATTTGGTTGCAGATTAAATAAATCTCAGAGCCAAACTTAGAGAGTGTTGCAGCTGGGCCTCCATTAGGCTCCTGATTCCCCAAAGTAACGCATGGACCAGCAGCATGTGTGTTAGAAATATGGAATCCCAGCACTCACCATAGACCAGGGGTCCTCAAACTACGGCCTGCGGGCCACATGCAAATACAAATATTGTATTTGTTCCCGTTTTGTTTACTTCAAAATAAGATATGTGCAGTGTGCATAGGAATTTGTTCATAGTTTTTTTTTAAACTATAGTCCGGCCCTCCAACGGTCTGAGGGACAGTGAACTGGCCCCCTGTTTAAAAAGTTTGAGGACCCCTGCCATAGACCTTCTGAATCAGAACCAATGGTTTCACAGGATCCTTAGGTGATTCTGCATGTGCTGTTCTAGATACTTCCCTGGGGTGTAAAATGATACCTCCCAAGTTATTTGGGGAGGATCAGATAATCTCTGGCTAGATATGACTTTTTTTCTTAACATCCACTTTTCCCCCACTGGTTTAAATTTTGTTAATGGTCATAGTCCCTTTTGATGTCTTTATGCCGCTCTTCTCACCCTCCTATCCAAGTCCTAATGGATAAGAAGAAAAGCCACTCAGAAGCACAAGCAGGTAGATCCAAGGTCGTTAATCTGTAAGCCTTCACCTTAAGACATTGAGCCTTTTCCTAGCATGCTAACTATGTTTTCTCCTTTTAGAGGACCCATCCTGTATAGATTTCTTCAACTGGTGTCATCTAGTTCCTCAACATGGTGTCTGCAACCACAAATTTTATGGCAAACAGTGCTGTAAGTCATGCACAAGGAAGAGCTGATACCCTCCCCAGCACCTTAAGGCCGGGGTCTCACTTTTCGGGCTGAAGGCTGAAGACTCAACACCTCACAGGTGGTTGGCAGTGTTGAGGGGCCAGCTCTGAAGAATAGTCCGGCTTCTTTTTCACTTCCCCAAAGCACATGGTACTCTGAAGCACTTGAAAATGGGAAGCGATGACAAATCTGACTCACGAAGAAACAACGTTGATTTGCACTGTTAATCGAAAGAAGTGATGAACCACACTGAGATACGTCAATGTGAGAGCCTGGTCAACTTTGGGACACATCCCCCTTTGAATTTAAAAGGGTTCCATGGCAAAGACATCTGTTTTGAAAGGTCTTTCAAGACCTCAGGTCACAGACTGAGAGTTGGAGGAATCAAGCATGGATGGAACGTTTACTTGGAGCTCACAGTGTAACTGAAACTGTGGACACCCCCAATCAGGAGTTACACAGAAAGCCAAATGGTGCTCACGACAGTGCTTGCTGCTGGACTGGCAAGCTTCATGTATGTTTATTTAGTGTGAGTGTGTTGTTTTTACGATTTTGTTTAAAGTATATTCTGCTTATAGAGAGTCTTCGAGACTAAAATTCACAACTTGAAAAGTATTCCAAGGAATATTCAAAAAAACAGGGCAACATGGACTATTTAAGATCTCCATTTAATTAAAATGCACACTCTGAAGAAAAATAAAAAGAGCTCATAAGAAAGGTAAATATTGATGCCCTACACGTTATATCAACCTCGTAACTTTTGGTGCTAGACAGGATCCTCGAGTCTGCTCTTTGGGAATCCGAATTGGTGAAATGTTCTTTTCTGGTAAAAATCTAGGAGGAGTTAAATAGCAGTGTGTTGAAGGAGAGGAGACCATTATTTGTAATGCTCCCTACTTATTATCAGAGCTGCTTGGAAAATTAAAGGCCACTTGTGGTTTTTGCCTACCAACTGACATGTTTAAATCTGCCCTAGGATTTAGTTAACAAGAAAAAAGTCATAGTGGCAATAGAAAAATCCATCTGTCTTCCTGCTACATTAATATTAATAAATCATACTATGACAAAACTATTCAATGAATAAGTATTTTACAATCTTTCAGATGATATTTTCAGTCTTCAAAAGCCAGCTGTTGGTTGGCACTAATGAGTTTAAAATTGTTCTCAATTGCAAAAACACCATACTGTTTTGCCAAAACCAAAGTAACTTACAAGACTGGGTCCTTCTGTAATTTTTTGAGATGTGGTTATAAAAGACGTATTTATATAATTCTACTCCATTCCTCAGTATTTTTGATGAATGTAACCCAACTACTTTTAAAAAGTCTCAATTCAAACAGGGATTTGCCAGCTCAGCACAACCAACTAGACAGTGGTTTATAAATTTAGATCATCCTTTGTTCCCATTCTAATTAAAATCATGCATTCTTGAATCTCAGAGAGATGATTAGATATTTTCTCAACTCTCTGGACCTAGAATAGTGGTCATTTTATCATAAAAAAATAGTTCTACATCACCACCCTCTGAAAATTACAAGTTATCTGTTCTTTATATAATTATCATTTTATTTTATGGAAAAATTAATTTATTAATTAATAGCCTATTGTTGTGTTCTCACTTGCTTCTCTGAGTGATATTAATTCTGAGGAAAAGTGTTGACTAAAACCATGGGTTATAGAGAAAAGTCAAAATATATGTGTAATATTTAATTATTTTATAAGTTTTATAATAAAGTGTTTTGTTTATCTTTGAAACTTGTTAAGTTTTTGAATAAATTAGTGAGAAGCCAGTTATGTCCAAGGTAATTTAACTGTATAAATGTTAATTTTTCAATGAAAAGTTGAGAAATTTTTAGGGGGGGAAGATAAGATATTCATTAATTAACAACTTTTCCTGTTTGTGTATTAGAAAATTAGAAACTGTCAAACAATGGGATTAAATAGATAACATATTTACCACCTTAGGAATATACTAAATTTTTTTCTATCGTAACAGTCATGCATACATTTATGGAAATCATCCAAGTTAGTTAGATAAACCTATAAATGTAGTTGGTTTTCTTTTTTTTGTCCTAGTTGAAAGTCATTCTGATAAAATTGTTTTGCGATGAGAAAGAGAAAAGGGAGGAAGAAAAAAAAACTAAGAGCCCAGAAATAAACCCATGCCTATCTGGTCAATTAATCTATGACCAAGGGAGCAAGATTATACAATGGGGTAAAGACATTCTTTTCAATAAATAGCATTGGGAAAACTGGACAGATACATACCAAGAAAAAAATGAAATGACCACAGTCTCACACCATATAACTCCTAGAAGAAAACATAGGCAGCAAATTCTTTGACTTTACTCTTAGCAATATGTCTCATCAGGTGAAAAATAAGCAAATGGGACTACATCAAACTAAAATGTTTTTGCACAATGAAGGAAACCATCAAGAAAATGAAAAGACAACCTACTAAATGTGAGGAAATACATCCAATGAGGGGTTAATAAAAATATATTTAAAAACTCACACAACTTAACACCAAAAAAAACCCCAAAATACCACTTGATTAAAAAATGGACAAAGGACCTAGACACTTCTCCAAAGAGGACATTCAGATGGCCAATAGACATATGAAAAGATGCTCAACACCATGAATCATCAGAGAAATGCAAATTAAAACCACAATTAGATATCACCTTAACCTGTCAGAATGACTATCATCAATAAATCAATGAACCACAAGTGTTGGCAAGGATATAAAGATGAGGGAACTCTCCTGCACTGTTGCTAGGATTGCAAACTGGTCCAGCCACTATGTAAAACAGTATGGAGATTCTCAAAAAATAAAAAATAGAACTACTATATGATCCAGAAATTCTACTTCTGGGTATTTATCTGAAGAAAGACATATGCACCCATATATTCATTGCAACATTATTTACAATAGTCAAGATATGGAAGCTACCTAAGTGTCAATCGATAGACAAATGGATAAAGTAGTAGTGCAATGGAATATTACTCAGTAATTGATTATTACTCATAAAAAATAATTGATTCTTACTATTTGGGATAACATGGATGGGCCTAGGCAGTGATGGCGAACCTTTTGAGCTCGGCGTGTCAGCATTTTGAAAAACCCTAACTTAACTCTGGTGCCGTGTCACATATAGAAATTTTTTGATATTTGCAACCATAGTAAAACAAAGACTTATATTTTTGATATTTATTTTATATATTTAAATGCCATTTAACAAAGAAAAATCAACCAAAAAAATGAGTTCGCGTGTCACCTCTGACACATGTGTCATAGGTTTGCCATTACTGGCCTAGGGGGTATTATGCTAAGTAAAATGTCACATAGAGAAAGACAAATGCCATATGAGTTCACTTATATGTGGAATCTAAAAAAAATGAACAAACAAAAATAAATGAACAAACAAAAGAAATAAATTCATAGATACAGAGAAAAAATTGGTAGTTGCCAGATGGGAGAGGAGTTAGAAGAATGGGTGAATAAGGTGAAGGGATTAAGAAGTATAAATTGGCAGTTAAATAGTCACAGGGTCATAAAGTACAACATGGGGAATATATGGTCAATAATATTGTAATAAGTATACATGGTGTCAGGTAGGTACTAGGCTTATTGGGGTAATCACTTAGTAAGTTACACTTACTAATTACTATGTTGTGCAGTTGAAAGCTAATATTGTAATAAGTATACATGGTGTCAGGTGGGTACTAGGCTTATTGGGGTAATCACTTAGTTACACTTACTAATTACTATGTTGTGCAGTTGAAAGTGATAATACTGTATGTCAACTGAAATTGAAAAATAATAAACAATTTTTAAAAGATGAAAGAAGAATAAGAAACCAGAAAGTATAAAGAAACTGCATATATTCCCTTGACTGGTCTTCCTCAGACCAGAGCCTAAGGGAAAAGCAATGGGCTGTCATTGGAGATGAAGCCCAGAGCTGTGATATCAACCTCAAAAGAAACATTCTCAAGACAAAGAAACAAATCAAAGACCTGGAGTTTTGTTTACAAAATCTAATTCTAAAGGGTGGGCCCTGCCCGTTTAGTTGTAGTGAATTTATTCCACCAGAATTTAGTACTCCACAATCCCCTACCTATAAATTTCTAAAATTTGTACATAACTGTGCCAAGCTCGGGATCATTCTAGGCCATAATTACAAAGTTTATATATATATAATCCTTTTTATTGAATACTATACCAAATCTGCATGTAAGCATCAATTTCCTACCCTAATAAACATTCAAATTCTTTTAAAAAACTAAAATTAAAAAGCATTTTTTTTCAGGCTTTTCAAATTTTGAATCATCAGACCAGAGGAGAATATAAACTCTCTAGGCAAAGTGAATCCAACTGACCTGAATAAAAAGTTTTTTCCCTGCATAATAGAAAGAAAAAAAAAAGATAGATAGATATAGATATATATAATTTATGCATGTATAACTAAAAATATGTAAGAGGGTTTTTATATGAATTATTGCTAATTGGCACATATAATAAAATAAATGTGGTTAAGAATGAAAAATGGTATAAATGGCAGAAAAGAGAAAGTATCTTTATACCTTTTGGTAATAAAGTATCACTAATAAAAGTAACCACATATTAGTGTTTAGCAGGTGCCAGGTACTGTGCTAATAAGCCCCGCATATCTGTTGCCTCATTTATCCTCACAACAGCCTAGTTAGGAAGACAGTGCTATCTTCCCACCACAGATGAGAACTCTGGGTTCAGAGATTTGGCCTCAGGGCACATGGTCATCAAGTGATGGGTCAGGATTCAAACCCAGGTCCATTGGACTTAAAAGATTATTCTCTTGTTACTGTGCTGCATTACCCTGAGAAAGACAAAACAAAAAGGACATGTAGGCCTTAGAACTCTGCATGTGAAGAGAATCTGGTAATAAATGATTTAACAATGAATTATGGGCAGAGCTGGGATGCTATAAGGTGGGGAATTGGGAATGGGAGGTAATAAATTCCCACCTAGCCCGTCTTTTCAATAAAGGATACTTGAAGACTTGTTGCATAACTGTCTTTATCCTCTAATAACTGCTTATCTCTTGGGTAAAAATGTTTCCTGCACAACAGAATCTGAGTCCGGAGCCGACAACGTCAAGTCCATTAGGAGAGAGGGAGAGCAAGCAAGAGAGAGTGAAGAACTGTGCCTTTGCTGTGGACTCTATATGCCGACTGGAGGGAAGGATGGTCTCACAGCAGCGTGTACCATGCAAAAAAAAATCCTTTAGGGAATTAACGGCATGGAACCCATTACTGCTAAATGCAATGTAGAAAAGGCCATTTACTTACGTTCTATGTGGGTTTATTTTAGGAATGAAAAGTACATACCGTAAATCCTCACTTAATGTCACCAATAGGTTCTGTGACATTAAATGAAACGACATACAATGAAACCAGTTTTTATAGGCTAAATGATATAAACGAGAGTTAAGTTCTGACAGCATCTTGTCAATGTTATAACAAAACGATGTGGAATGAAATGGTGCTATTCGAGGGCCTTCTGTATTTGCATTTCATGTTTTGTCTGCCTTACCTTATCTTTCCCAGAAGACCTTGAATCCTGGAACACCTGTCTGGCCTCCTCTGATGCTGAGGATCTTCACCTCAGTAACTCTTCATCAGTCACCCTGGGTCTAGGCCAGTGGTCGGCAAACTGCGGCTCAAGAGCCACATGCGGCTCTTTGGCCCCTTTAGTGTGGCTCTTCCACAAAATACTGACTTCTGCGCATGGGCCATGAAGTTTCAATCGCACTGTACACTGTACATGCGCGCCCGCACGTGGTATTTTGTGAAAGAGCCACACTCAAGGGGCCAAAGAGCCGCGTGTGGCTCGAGAGCCACAGTTTGCCAACCACTGGTCTAGGTCATTCTGTCTTCCTCCTCCAGGGAGGACCACAGGGAGAAGTGATTCTTTAACTGCTATCATCTTTTACTATCATCTTGAGTTTCCCTGTAAACACAAATTTCTAATTTATTTAAGTAAAAAAAGTAATCTAATAAAATATTCTTTAAAAAATAAACTTTTAATAACTCCTTTACTGGGAAAAATCATATTTTTTGCCATAAATAGAAAGTAGCTATAAAAGTAAGCCCAATAAATATTAACATTTGTTAATTTTAATTAAAAATAAAATGTCACTATAATTAATTTACAGAATTAATAAATGATCTGGCCATAGTTCCTCAGGAGTACTCCATTTAGCACTACTAAACTTAGGATAAAGATGACATTTTCTGTCCATAAGACTATTTTTATCTTGGATCCCAATTTATATATGTACATAGAAAAGGCAAATTATATCCGTTAGCTGTACCTTTGCTGATAGTTAGACATTGAAAATAATGATATTAGAGACTTTTGTTCAATACATTTTTGTGTACAGAGAAGCCATCAGGAGCAATATCCAGAATATATTTTCCTGAATGTCTAGTTATTTGTTAGTTTCTGCAAAGTAATGGCAAATTGCCTTACCCATGCACAACCACCATCCAGTTTGAATATTATGAAGAGATACTTGCAAGGTATTTCTAAGTGTTTTCCTGAAATGTGCTTAGTGAGAGTCATAGTTAAATTCATAGTCAGTTCATTCAATAACAAAAGGTAATTTATATAAATGTTGGTTCATTTAATTAACAGATGAGATTCAAGGAGTGTTTCCAGCATCCTAATTGGGTTGAGAAAGAGGTGCCAATGCCTAGGAAAAGGAAACCCTGTA